GCAGACTACGCTCTCTTTGTGGGATGGAAACAGCTGCTCAATTCCTTTTTATACCTTCCAGATGCGCTGTAAAGTTTTGTGTATGACTTTATAAGTGTGGCAAGCTTTTATTGAAATACACGGCACAGTAAAGATGTTGGATATTATTACTGAGAAAATTCAAATGTCTTGTTCAAAACTATAATTACTAGCCAATAGTAATTTTTTCGAACGAGGTGATCAAGTTGCGAGTCTTCCAGAAGGCTAAATTTGTCGGAATGATTACTAAGCAAGACCACAATATGCTTCTGGTAAAGCTTCAATTTTTTAATTACTGTTCAGAAGCGGCCAGAAGCGGCCTTTGCTCAACTGTTTCGTAACTTAGTTGGTGGCGACTTGTGACTCGTGCGAGTATAAATGCTTTTCCTCAGTATTCTAAATGCATTTAGGACCCCAATTCAAACACGGGTTACGTGCAATGAACAGAACGAGCAGTACGCTAGTCTACTACCACAAATGTTGTTTACGCAACAGGCACATTTGCAGCACTTTTTCCTTGGTACCCATTACCGAAAGTCTGGAAAACATGACGTTATTTTTTATTCCCGCCCGCTGCTGTCTCCATATAACTATGAATGCAGAGGCGCACTAAGCGTTTTGCGTTTTGCAGACTACGCAGTTTTCTTTTTCCCTTCTACACGATTTTGACTTCACAAAGTAGTGAAAACTACGACAGTCTTTACCCCTGCTATTTATGAGACATTGAATTTTGACTACGGCATGAAACGACGCACGATATAATTAACGACTTAACGTTTCGCGCTACCGTTAAAGTTAGAGGAGGTTCCAGTTCCCCTACTGTTACTGCTTTGTAGTAAGTGAACTGCTAGTGCGAAGTTCGCCCGCCGTTTTCCTACTCAGTGCATGACACACGAACTGGAGGAGGGGCAACATCCTCGAGAGACGATAAATGGGCAGCGTCAGATACCGTCCAAAGATGGCTAGGTGTTTTCAGTGTTAGGGAAGTCTTGAGGTTCCTGTGAAGTAGTAAGGGACCTCACTAACGCATTCCTGGAATCAGTTATAGAGGTCGATGAAGCAGGTAGCAGTACGCAAAGGTGTATTGATATAGCAAAAGCATCATGAGCAATCACTGAAAACCACCCAGTAGTATTTCACGATCCAGATACCGCTTCCAACTCAACCACTACTGGATAGACTTAGCGAAATTTAAGCATCTACGCAGAAGTACGCATGCGATGCGCAAGAACTTACCCCTCAAGTTTTATATCACAGTAAGTTTCACGTAAATTTTGACCCTCTTTTACGATGAAGGACTCAAGGCACGGCGAATTGAAATTGAGGTTAAAGTACCTGAAAAACCATGACTTTCCTCAGAGTTAAAAGATGTTACTCGTTACGTTTCTTTAGAAAAAGGACCAATATTTAGTGTCTTAAGCATTTCTCCAGTTAGAAGATTCGGTTCTGTAATGAGTTCTAGCGAGGAATAAAGTTTTAATCCAAACTAAATTCATATGTCGTTTCTGGTTTATCAGTGCGACTGTGGGATCACACCATCAAAGTGGCTTAACAAAAACTCAGTTATCATCGGATTTCCTCAAAGAACTAAACAGATTAACAAAAAAATCCTGCAGCTTTCCATCCAAATTTGCAAAGCTATGGCTGTCAAGTGCTATCAACTTTCTTTACCCCAGCACCAGCAATTAACAGGACGTAAGCCAAACACAACAAGGTAGCAACGAAAGCAGCAAGAATCTGCCTGTCACATAAAGAAAAAATATAACGGTACAATCTGGCTAATAAATGACAAAAGTCAAACCATGACATCGTCAAATATCTCAGGATCGTTTTAAAGCAAAACGAATGAATGACAATTTCGGTTAAACTCCGTCGTAGGATTTTCCGGCTAACCCAAAAATTTACTTTTCACAGCCTAACTTCTGATCAACACTCATATATTCTTATTAAAATGCAAAATGGATTAGTCGTTTTACCGTTATTCGCCTAGCCCCCTTACTTAGAAACCCTAAAAACCAATTCGCAAAGTAACAACAGGCTAATCATGAAAAACATCGAGAAAAGCCCTATGATCTTAGTCCCATCTAATAAAAACAGCTATCAAAAGTTAAAAAAGAACAGTGTTTTCTGCTCCCACTTCATGCGATGTTCTTTTCGTTTGGATGCACAGCAACAAAGGTACGGCACTAATACCTCGCATCTTGGTCTCGCCGTTTTCTCTGAAGCATCAAATACCAAAAATTAATCAGAATACATCTCCAAAATTACCGGTTACGAAGTGCAAAGCATTTCAACAGCTACTAAATATAAAACAGTTTCAGACATTATGGGAATCTTAAGTCCCTGTCATACGAATGAAAATCGTGCCTTGAATCTATCAAAAACACTGCAAGCTCTCATCTCGATTATTATTCTTTTCTTAACAAGGTAAATAAAAAACAACTGAAAGTACCAAACTTTTTTGTAAATTTATAAACTAATTGTCCTGTCTGTTAAGAATAATAACAAAGTTCTTAACCTATTAAATTAGATAACTAAAATAACAGCTGCAAGGCAGAATTTTCTCAAATCAAAAGACATACAAGAAAGTTATTCTAATAAAGGCTAAAAAACCGAATAAATAACGAACAAAGAAAGTGAAGTTCATCAATTTCGCTAGGAAAAACCACAGAAGTAAGCTAACTCACTTTAAAAACAGTAAGAAATAACGCCTTTTAGTTCAAAAAGAGAAATTGAATGAATAGCTACAGTTTATAAAAAAATAATTATTTAAAGACTGTCTATTGGTCCATCAAATGCAATTCTGATAGTTTTGGTTACCATCAAAATCGAACTTTTCTTTCAACCCCCACTCAGAACATTAGTATTATCTAAAAAAGAAATGGTTGTAATGTAATCCTTCTCTGCCTTGAGAATTTGTTTCCCATTTTTTCCGGAACTACTTTGCAACCCAATATTTCTCTTAATTTGAAAAGTAAGTTCTTCCAAGAAAAATTATAATTAATTTTATTAACTAAGCATGCAGCGCCTTTTGAGCAAGGATTAGTCAGAAGAGAAATTAACCTGGTAGGTGTTTCTACTGTTGCGCTGCTGTTGCTGTTCCGCTGCAGAACGCTCCTGCCGCTGCGTATACCATGCCCCCGGGCCGGTATAGCTACGTCCAGCCCTTGGTTCCAAGATCTAGAGCGTTTGGTGTTTAAGGAGAAAAACATTTCATAAAAATACCAAAAAAGAAGTAAAGATTGAAAATATAAAGGAAAGACTCAAAATAGGACTTGTTCATTGTTATCTGCTAGTTGAGTAAGCTTATCAGTTAAATGCAGGGCAAGAAGTTGCAACCGGCTCGGTTCAACACGGTGCATTATCAAACATTCAGAAGGCTCATCCAAACTCGCACTCAACTCTTCAGATATAATCATTTTGCTGCAGAGATCAAGGTAAATTATATGGTAAGAAAAGGTGAGTAAAACATATAAAAGAAACAGCACTAAACGAAGAAAACCCACCTAATTATAGAATGTACAGTGCATTTATCAAGTTCAAATAGTTGCGACAACATGTTCAGAGATACGGTTGTATACACTGTCGAGTACATCAACAAATACGTGTGCAAAGTCTCCTCCTGTATTCTTCGCACAACCATCTCCTGTACTTTTTCAGAATTACGGAAGAGGTTCCAAACCTATAATTAGAAAATTTTTATTCCAAAAATTTAAAGACCTTCCAAGTCCAAAATTTCAAAAACCTAACCTTTGCTTTCATTTTATCATTAACTATATAATCTCTGCATCTTTTCCAATCCCCACTCAGCATAGCGCGAGATGCTGCCACGACATGCTCACGTGTGTTCTCAGGTGGACCAATTAACGAACACTTTTCCGACCAAAATTGAAATATCAATGAAAATTTTTATAACAAAATGAAAATGCTAGTAAAAGATTGAAATTTCAACATACCAGCTTTAATTGATAATGAAAAGACCGTGACAATAACCGTCGACGCAATTCATACTCTTGCGATGCCATATGAGGAATTTCAAGCAACATGGAGCAGATCAGATACACACACTCCATGAGTTCAACATTTATATGCATATGATACGGAATTTGGCGAGCCCTTTCAAGTTTATCCTGAAAATGAGTGAAGACTTGATATAAACCAAACTCAGCTCTTCTTTTGAAAAGGCTCATTTCTTCGACAAACGGTAGCTCCATACCTGTTCAGCAGTTTTCTCTTGTTGTCGCATAACTATCCCCTGTGCAAGCAGTTCTTTTGCACGCTGCGTATTCTGAATTTCAGAAAGTCCTTGATGAGCCTCTCTAATGAAGCCATGACGAAAAGCACACAAACCTAACTGACATATCGTACGATTATACAATATCTAAACCAAGCTTGAATTTCGTACAATTCGAAGAAGCGAAAATCCCTTGCAAAATGGGGGAAACTGATATGGAGACAAACTTGGGTACTAATATCTGAGTGATCAATTATAGATTGAAGGTGAGACATTAGCATTAAATCACGGGCTTGATGCCACTTATCGTGTAATGCCAAATGGTAAATTTGACACAGCATAGCTCGCTGTCTCAATCGTTTGCTTTCATCTCGAGTGTATACCTCCTTACAGAGCCTTTCCATAGTAATAATTGAAGACTCCTGCCCGTCTTCAATACTTTCTTCACTTTCATACTAGAAAAATGTTGGCAAAAACATAACTTATGAAAATATAAGAGTCTTTCACGAGTTTTCAAAAATACATTATAAAAATCTCTTGAGTGATTTTCAAAGAGAAACTAACTTTATAATAAAGATGGTCGATTTTCAACATATAAAGTTTGCAAATCTCGTCTTCAACAAAGACATCTTTATCCAACCTCTGATTAGCGTAATCCATAGTCTTACCAATAAGAACGCAAAGATCCTTTTCTCCCTTCAGTCTATTAAAATCTTTCAATAACACCGTAACAACAATATTATATATCTATATTAAATCCTTAAAAACATTTTAAGTAAAATCCAATAAACGAAGAAGCTTGAAGTCCACCCCTAAAAATAATTTCTTACACAAACTAGGGGAGTCTCACTTTTCAATGAAGTCTGTGCTATGACAATCGGCATTTTGGAGGATTTTTATCAATTCCGTATCAAGACGTTGCACTGTCATTAAAACAGAACCGTGAACACGATAAGGAACAGAAGCGTCTCGCACGTTCTCGTCATCTTCACTGACAGATACCGAAAGAATGATGTCCGGTTTATCATTCAACATATCTATTAAGCTGTTAATAGCACCTAGCGTCCTACAAAGCAAGTTGTGAAAAGAAATCAAAAACGATAAGACATAGCCTGATTAGTCACGGTGAAGAACCAAATAAAGCCAGTATATAAGCTGCATAAAAAAAACAAGCTACCTGCTCCATGAAGAATACTCCATACAGTCACTAATACGTGTGTTTAACTCGAACAGCGCAGATATAATTGAAAATAGAATTTTAATTAAAAGACCTTCACCAAGCTTGTGCTAGAAATACATTTATGTAAATAAACAACAACCTGCTAACTTATTCTCTTCTATTAACTGTCCAGATCGTGATTCTTCAAATAACCTTTTCATCTAGAGCACTCAAAAACTTCAAAAATTTCCATAAGAGATCAAGTGAAATTTCTCATATAATACTAAAAAGTCATCAAAAATAAATCACTTCTTCCGCGATTCGAAATAGTTCCTGCAAACTTCTGACATGATGCTTGCGGTTTGTCGATTTTTTTCCACGAGTAGCAATAATTTCTTGCAGTTTGTTAATAACAACCTGCGAAAGATACTCTTAACAGTAAAATCACTGCCTCACCCAACATCAAAATCAAAAAACAGTGTACAGAAATTTAAAAGTGCAAAGATAGAAAACAAAAAAACTTATTTGACAAAGAAGTATTCTTACATCGTGGGTAATCTCGGTTTTTGGGTCGAACAATTGACGCATTTTTTCTTCTTTCGTCGGGACGCTTACCCATTCTTCATCTTCTGCCTCGTCTGTTCTTTCTTTCGCCTCACGCTCCTTCTGTCGTTGCGCCCTCTCATACTGACGTTTTTCTTTACCTTCTGTTTCTCCACCTTCTTTGTATTCTTTCCTAAAAGTCAAGGATAGAATAAGCCCCCCAGTGAGCCAAAAGTCTGTATTCATCGCTATTCTTCCCATGGCTTGTGAGCAAATAAGGCTAAAAGTTCTTTTGGAGATTCACAAGGATTATCATCGACTGACCATTCGCAGCGAAGTACAAGATTAACAAGCTGATATTTTGGGAAACAAATCTACAAAATTCAGCACTCAACATAGTGTTTCGCAGGAATAACGTCCAATGAGTTTCTCTTAACGCACTCCTACCACTGTTACAACCCAGTGAAAACATAGACTTTTCAACTGTTCCAGTCCACAATCCTACATTACCTCCTGTCGAGTAACACCCAATTACTACTCTGCTTTGTAGCAAAGACTAGTTCAAATATGGCAAAAAATACCGTGGTCAATAAAACCTCAAGCCCTAATCTGAGAAAACGAAACTTTCGCACACAAAGAGCAACGAATAACACGGATTTCACGACCCATAATGTTCAAGAGATTTGCAGTAAAAACTTTAAAATAATAATCATTTTCAGAAAGCTTTGGAAACTCCATACTTGCAAAAACACCAAAAAATAAACATGTTTGAAAGACTTTAAAAAAAATCGTCTTAGTTCCTCCATTTGTTTCCCTTCAAAATCAAGATCAGATTCCGATTCAGAAGATGCATCAGAGTCAGAAGGCCACTCATCGGTGTCCTCATCTAAATCGTGAATTCGTTTTGGTTTCTGTGTAACTGATTCCACTCTGCTTTGTTCCCCCTGAAAATCTCTGAGAAAAATAAGCTGCTGTTACAGTTGGTTCAATTAACTCCACTAATTTATACACCAATTTTCATACCTTCAGGAATAAAAATCACGAAGTTGTGAAAAAAAATTAAAAAAACTATACAACATCTTCTTCGTCTTCTTCATCTACATCTGCACTTGAGTACCCAACAGGATCGGGCTCAGACCGATAGGAAGCAATTTCCACTTCCATGTCCTCCAAAAAATTAATTCATTCAAAACAACAGCAGAAGTTCAAAATAGAAAACCATAGCGCAACAACGAACTAACTTTGTTATACTTCCGAATTTTTTGCCTAAGCGCTGCTAGACCCTTTGAGTTTGATTTAGACAATCCTTTTCGAGCCTCTTTGTCTTCCCACTGTTCATTTACAAAATCTTCAAGCTCAACAAGATTTCGAATATAAAAACGAGGAGTAGATAATCCTTGACGCGTAAGCACCGCTTTCGTCTTTTCAAAGACTCTACACAATTCTTCAAACGCTGAAAGTAACTAGACAATGCAAGAGCATCTACAAAGCCTTCTAATATTTTAAGTAAACCTATAAAAAAAACCGCTGCAGTAGCTAGATAGCCAAACCAACTTGTAAGAAGTTTTGACATGTCCTTTATGTTTTTTGAGTTCTTCGCCTGCTTTATAAGATCCTTCAGCTCTTCAAACTTTCGATCCTTATGAGCTTTAACAACCCTTCTTTCACTTTCCTCCTCACTGTCTGAAGGATAAGCGAAACCAGGTCGCCTCAAATAAGATAATATTTATTACCAATGCGAAAAGTATCTCAAAATCTTTCTCAAAAAATATCTCTTTTGCACCACCAGTAAGGTGGAAGTCGGTTAAAAACCGAATTAAGTTAAAATTTGGCTTACGTAAGTGGTTTGGACGGCACAAAAGCTTCTTCATCGCTACTTTCACTCCCGGAAGAATCTGAACTTGAAACTGCTCCTTTGAAAAACTTTGACATTTTGAAGCCTGGAATAATCAGCAAATTATAAAGACCATATAACAGCAATTCTCTAGCACAATAGTGTTATACGCAACAGTTTCGACGCTTCCTTCTGGTACTTAATAGACTGACAGTTAAAAAGTCCAATGAAAAATGCAGTAAACCCCCAACCTTGAGAAAAAAAAAGATTTATCTGAGAAGGAAAGTTTCCCGTATTAATGATTAATTGCAAAATACATTTTTTTTTAGACTTCAGCCTTCATTGAACCAACAGACGAGGAAAAATGACCCATCAGACCGTCTATGGAATGCGGAAAAGTCAAAAAATTCATGCTTTCCTGCTTAGTAAATTGGACGTTTAAAAAGAATCCCCAACAATGACAAATGAGGCAGAGATAAAACAGCAAATGTTATTGTTTACTAACGAGCACTTTACACAGATGGACCGAATAAATCTATTAGTCCTAATTAACAACCAATGAAAACAGAATATAAGAATAAATAAAAAATAAAATTTAAGCTTCCTACGTCCCGTACAGCTGTCTTTAACAGTAGTAAACAGGCATGTACTTTTGTCGATAATGCGATATTTCAAAGCATCTTCATTGCACTCCCAAGAATTATTTACCATTTATCTCTGCTACATAGAAATTTAGTAGAAAATAATAGAGACAAATTATTAAAACCTCAAGTAAAGGTATTCTGGGTACAAAACCAAAAACTGCAAAAATTTTCAACCATTCACTCAATCAACGGACTTAATTAGCACACAGGCATTCGTTGATTTTCAGTGCCCATAAAATTTTCTGCAAGCAATTGCAAACAAGCAATCTGCAAGCAACTGACTCATCCATGCCTCACGTCAATCGAGCAACTCCAGTAGACCCGGGGAATTAAATGAATTAAATATATATATATATATATATATATATATATATAT